CTGTTAGAGGCTGAGTCAGACTCAGGGCCATAGTGCGGCTGGAAGGATTACGTAATTTGAAAAAAAAATCCAGTGACCGCATCGGGAATCGAACCCGCGACTCTCAGGGCCATAGTGCGGCTGGAAGGATTACGTAAATTGAAAAAAAAATCCAGTGACCGCATCGGGAATCGAACCCGCGACCTTCCATCTTGTAGAATAGTGCCTCAACTAACTACGCTAACTCGTACTCCCTGATGTTATATGTTATAGATTAAATGTTATGCTGAAAAATCTTATATCAACCATATAAATATTTTAAATTGGATTTTGTAGAAAATTATGTTGAGACCACTGCAAATATTTTTCACAAATACGAGTAGTTTACGAGGAGCCGGGATAGCTCAGTCGGTATAGTGACTGGCTACAGGCTGGACGACAGAGGAGGTCGGAGTTCGAGTCTGGTATGATCAAGAATTTTCTCTTCTCACGTAGTCCAGACGGGCTCTGGGGCCCACCCAGCCTCCCATTCAATGGATACTGGGGCCTTTTTACCCGGGGGTAAAGCGGCCGAGGCGTTAAGCTGACCATTTATCTCCAATTAGTGCTGAGGTCAGGAAAACGTGGGTCTACACAACCACTTCCCTATACGTCTTCATGGTGTAGTGCTTAATTATTTAAGCACAGGGACAACTTAGACGAGTAATTTACTGTGTTGTAGAATTGAGTAAAGGAAGGGTCCTAGCTCATTTTAAACCTACATTTACTGTGAGGGGACCTAATATTATTTCAATCAGCTCAATCAAAGTTGAAATTTATGTACTTGGTTACTGAAGTTCCCTTATACATTGCGATCGTTTGAGAGCTTGCCGCAAATTGTTCAGTCGCCCAGGCGTAGGAGTCGGATGCAGGAAGCTGTGAGACATGCGGGAAGCTCTCGGATGATCGCGCTGTATATGAACATGCAACTTGCAGCTACAGCGGAATTTTTTTAATTACACGATGGTCTGTCTTCTATAATTCGTTATGCCGTAAATTCAAACTTCCGGCAGTTGCTTTACTTTTTTTTTAATTGCTAGTAGGGTGGGACTAAGTCCCTTGTACTGCGGCCACTTCTGGCCTATTGTACCAGCCCCAGATGATAGGTGAGGGTGACTGTGGAGCAATTGGTGGAATGAAGATTGGTAGGGGAAACCGAAGTACTCGGAGAAAACCTACCCCAGCGCCACTTTGTCCACCACAAATTCCACTTGACCAGACCCGGGATCGAACCCGGCCCGCCGCGGTGGGAATCCAGCGACTAACCGCTTGAGCTATGGCGCGGCCCGTTGCTTTACTTTAGTAGTCCCTGTTACCTGAAGTCCCAGAACTTCTTGTCTGACGGTCTGAGGTCCACATGTTTTCTGGAGTACACATTTCCTCTGGCATTTCCCAACCACACGTCGTAACCACGGTCTGCTAGGAGATACGCTGTAACATGCGAAATGGAGGAATAACCCTAAGTTCTCAGCAGGGGACGAACATACACTTAAGGTGTTGGGCTCTCACGACAGTGAATGTGACGCCGTGTAGCCCGGTACATTTTCGTCAACGTTTCGCAGGAAACTAAATGCTTGCAAAATATCGGTGCAGTTGTAACGGACTACGCGGCTTTACCGAGAGCGTTCACGAAGCGGTAACACTCTACACTTGTATTCCATTCTGACTGAGGGTTTCCGTGGTTTGCCTCAGCCCTTCCAGTCAAATGCTGGGATAGAGCCTCGACCGCTTCCTTCCAGATCCCTTTCAATTCTTCGTTCCTCTCATCCTACTAATTGTTGCTATATAATCTAACCACTCAGAGCATCGTTAAATAACATCACCTTCCCCCACTACACCGTGTCACACTGCACATTGTACTCTTACTCTTCATATACTGAGGCTGTTTGAGAGCAGTGTACTGAGAAAAATAGTTGGACCTAAGCAGTAAGTAACAGGACGCTGGCGAAAATTAATATTACGCGGGGAACCATAATTGGCACGTGCACTCGTCGCCATAATATTACTAAAATGATCTGATCCAGATGGAGTGATCAATATAGCCATGTAGAGCATATGGGAGCCCTGAGAATTTAATAGAAAATTATGGTCGGAAAAACTGAAGGTAGGAAAATATTTGGAAGACATAGGCTGAAATCGTATGATAATATTGTCACGTGATTAAGTGTGACTATAGACAAGGTTTGGATTGGCAATTGGATTTATTGAACACCTTCAGGTCATAACTACAAATAACTATAACACTCTCATTCATGCACTCGTCTTCTCACTACAGCACATACTAAGTCTTCTTAGTTTGATTTCACCAGTCGTTTCCTGGTAACGGATCCTAACTGTACTCTGCTTACGTCCTAACTGGCTGGCGAATAGTTCACAGCTGACTAAACTCAGAGTCAGAGTTATTTTACGACTGGCGGTTTACCGACAAGCCCCTTGAGAATCACGACCAATATTTTTTTCTCGACTGAACACTTTCAGTCATAGTCCTTATGTAATATCCTCTCTCAGGAGACGATGGATCTATCGTTTACAATTGCTGCTGGTCCTCGCCAGTGCAGTCATTCTAAGGTCCGAGTCCCGCGGGACTCATGACCACATTTTGCTCTCCCAGATTCGAGACTCCCACAACCTGGAGTGCCAGGTCCCAGTATCTATATCCCCCAGGAACAGGTGGCTCAGTTGTACATCCAGGCACTGGGTTCCCTTTTTTTCGCCTCTCATGACTAGCAGGGCTACGGTAGAAGTATTCCACCCCCGCCTCCACACGGGATTTTTCATTAAACTGGCTCAGAGTCTTATGTTACGACCGACGGTCACTTGGCCAGTCTGTCTTCGAATAAAGTACCCATCTGGGGCTTAAGACTAGATCTTTATTACTGTCAGACATTTGCGGGTTTGTTGATGTGGGGGGGCTCTCTCTGACGAGATGACGGGTCTGTCTTTTGTATATGCTGCTGGTCCTCGCTAATGCAGTCATTCTCGGGTCTGAGTCCTGTGGGACTCGTGACCATATTTAACTATCTCAGATTCGAGATTTCCCTTTTCTTCCACTTACTAAATTCTAGACTTGTCCCGCTTATAACCCCTCGGCACGGACCGCGTAGAAAACACCGCTCCTCTATGTTGTAGTTCAATTGCCTTGGGAACATGATTATTTACGAAGCCGTTATTTAGCAACGGTTGCCCTACAAAGCCTATTTCGCGGTCGTTGTCTAGCAGCGCGCGCTTTTTGGGAGTCATTACTTAGCAATGGGTCTACATGCTACAATATTAAAACCGGTCACAAAGAAAAGGGGCGTGAGGGTGTAGACTGGGTTCTTCTGACTGAGAAATGTACAATTCATGGTCTCTTGTGAAATTTCAGATTCCATAATGTGAAGGGAGGAAGGAATTTTTCGACTAGCCTATGGACTCTCAAACTTTTTAGAGGAGGTCTGCTCCGTAGAGTTGGTTTTGTCACTGAAATCTCCGTAATCCATCAAGAAGCTATTGTGACGTTCATGGATATAACTTGTCTGATGCAGCCAGAGCCAAGTGAGACCATTTTGTCGGCATGCCCGAGTACAGTTCTCTATTGGGAGACAGTGACCTTTCAGTCGGTGACTTCCTTCATTGGTGTAAACGTCAAGTATTTTTTATAGTTTCTTGGGGTGGGGTGAGGCTGAGTCCACTTGGTACAGCGGCTACTGTTTGACCTATTGTATCAGCCCCTGATGATAAAAGAGTATTTCGCTTACCTAAGCCTTCGTCCGGACCGCTGATGACCCAGTCGGCGGAGCTGCACAGTAGACCGTGTTGCAATAGTACTGGCGATTTCTGAGCCACTCTTTTGCTGCTAGGGATGCGATGCAAGGTCAGAATGTAGCCATCGTCTGTGACCACAGTGTGACTCTCTGCAGGGTACCCATACTTCGCTATTAGCTCCGGCTGTGGACAGTGTTATTGAGCCCACAGATACAATTCGGGCCTTCCTCGGGGGGTGCAACATGTGCACTGACGCAGGGCGGCAGAAACGAGTTAGAAACACAATTTAGCTGTTGGTTGTAAAAAGCCCTTCTTCTGGGGGACAAACCGTGTAGTCCTTTGAAAGTCAACCGACGTTTCGGAGGAATATGTCATCCTTGTATTTGTTGCATTATAGTATGCGCATATCTAGGTCGTCTGACTATTAATTCCATCTATCGGGGACTAAGAGGAACTACGTTCTCGGTGAGTGCAGAACACACACATAGTCAATCATAACCCGTTTATTATAATAATAATAATAATAATAATAATAATAATAATAATAATAGTGTAAAAGCATATACGTTATGAACTTCTAAATGTGAAATAATTATAGATTTCCTGTTATACCTACAACTAGCCTGAATGCGTAGATGCCTGCAGCGAATATTTTTATGGTTCAGGGGCCATCGGGCAGTACCCGGACGACGAATATAACACTGCTCTTCTTATAACAATTGAGTTGCGACCGAAGCCAGTAGTTAGTCACCTAGTTCGATCTAATGCCGGTCTTAAGAATGCGTGCCTCTGCCTTTCTTCAGTTACGAGGGAGTCAGTAAATAGGTCTCAAATACGTAAAAGTAAAACAGCTGTAATGGATGTAATAGGCTTTCTATATGTATCACTAGGTAGCAGCACAGGCCAGTTTCATTTCAGGTTATGTAGGAGACGCTCTTGCGCATGTTCAGAGGCTGGTTTAAGCAGTGATAATCGCGACCGTGTTGTAAACTACCGAAGAGCAGCGTTTTCTTGTGTTTTTTTTTGTGGGCAAAGTGACTCAATGCAAAGGGTATTTATAAAAAAATACTTCCTATTTACAGTAGGAAGTGTTTGTCGCGTAGCGCGGTTCACAACTCGGTCGAGATATTCTCTCAAGGACGTCCTAAAGTCGCTGATGATGCCCGACCAGGTCGCCCTGTTGAGATTGTAACAGAAGCAACTGTGAAATGGGTAGAAGAGTTGATTCAAGTCGACAGGAGGATAATGATGAACAGCATAGCAACTGGACTAGAGTGTTCCTATGGTTTAGTATACAGCATAATGCATAATCATTTGAAGTTTCGGAAAGTGTGTGTACGGCGGGTGCCCAGAGAACTGAAAGATGGACAAAAAATGAAGAATCGAATGGGTCTGTCCTTGCAACATCTCTTACGGTATGCAGATGAAAGAGAAGATTGCTTAACAGGACTGTTACTGGGGACAAATCATGGCTGCATCATTACCATCCCTAATCAAAACGTGCTTTAGTGCAATGGAGATATCCCAGTTCACCTTCAGCCACAAAGTTTAAGATTACTCCTACCCCATCAGCTGGGTAGGTTACGCCTGTCATAGTTTGGGATTCTCAGGGAGTACTTTTAGCAGATTTTCAGAAGCGTGGTGAAAATGTGAATTCTGTATCGTACTGTGAAGTTCTGTTGAAACTTCGGGATGCAATTCGCAGGAAACTTCCAGGCAACTGGCAAGAGGTGTACTGCCTCATCATGGCAGTGCCAGCCCCCATACAGCCCGAGCAACCCAGGAGAGAATTCAGGAAATACATACAGTGGGAACTTCTGGAACATCCGCCTTACAGCCCGGACTTGGCCCCTAGTGACTTCCGTCTGTTTGGTCCGCTAAAAACCCGCCTTGGTGGAAAACGTTTCTCTGATGAGAGGTTGAAACGGAGGTACGAAAGCGGCTGAGACAACAGTCAAAAGACTTCTATGCAGCGGGTTTCGACTCACTGCTAAAGCAATGGGACAAGTGTATCAATGTCGGTGAAGGATATGTCGAGCAATAAATATGTCGCTCAGTTTTGAATATCACGTGTTTTACGTCTTATATCCATTTATAACCTATTTATTGACACTCCCTCGTAATTTTTCATGTAGAATAAAATAGAGCAATCTTACCGTCGTGAGACTCGTGTCAGGGTTGTAAGCCTTTTCTTGAATCACGCTTCTAGCCTCAGTCAAACAGACGGCTGCCGTGAGACAGATCGCCACAATCATCTGCCTTGTAGCCATGATTGTGTGTCCTGCTCCATACAGGCTTCCTGGCCTAATATACTCAATTTGCACTCCAGTCAAGAGGCTGCGAAATGAACTGATGCTCCCAACAGATAACATTCGATAGCAAAACAGATCGGAGATAAAAATACAAAGATTTGTAAGGAGAGAAGGACTTAAATGGGATGAAGGTAGAATATAGGAAAGAAAGGCAACAAGAGGTTCTGGGAAGAACTAGTCGCCTACTTTGCTTTCGCTGTAATTTGAATATTTGATACGATACGTAGAAAGAGAAATTATTTGGTATATATGTCTAATGAAGTCAGTAAAACAACACAGTTTAGGAGACCGCAGTGTTGGTATTACTGATGGGAGTGATTTGTGAAGTACACCGTTGAGATAGCCTCAGATGACATGATATATGTACCTAGTATTTTGACGATTGTTTCAGGCATTCCAGTAATACTAAATGTATTAGCTCAGCAATTTGAGAGACTGTAGCGATGGTATTACTAATGAGAGGGATTTATGAAGTACGTCATTGAGATGACATCAGGTGGCGTGATATACATATCAACTTTCATGACGATCGTTCAGGCATTTAAGTAATATTTTGGTTATTATCGCAAAAATTTGAGAGGCTGTAGTGTTGGTATTACTGATCGAAGAAGGTTATGAAGAACGACATTGAGATAGTCTCATCCGGCGTAATGTACTTACAAAGTTTCATGAAGATTAGTACAGGTGTTCAAGAAACAATAAGATTTTGTCTCATAAATTTGAGAAGCTATAATTTTGGTTTTACTGAAAGAATAGAATTATGAATTACTCCATTGAGATGGGCTCAGGTGTCTTGATATACGTACCAATTTTCTTAAAGGTTGGTCCAGCTATTCAAAACTGAATTGGGGATTCACATGCAGACATACAGACAAAAAGACGATCTCATAAGCCTACTTTTATTTTTTCAAAATGAGGAAAGTAGACAAAAAATAGGTATGAGAAGGGGCGACGGGAGGAAAACGAGGAAGGGAAACGAAATTAGAGGAAAAGCGAAACTGGTTTCTTAAGAAAATCTTGTGGTGAAGTGAACGCCAGCCCAAAGAGGCAGTTACAGAAATTTCGAAAAATATTTCTAGTCTAGTACCGTCAGTCAGTGACTGAAATAGCTGCAATGTGTCTTTGCTGTGCTTTAAGTCCTTTTAGTATGATAATTATTTCTATGTAAATACTTCAAGTGGTATTACTAATAAATTATTTTGCACAGTCTAATTATGGGACTCTCAAGTGAATTGAATTAGATAAGATAATCAGATTTATATAAATCTTAGCAAATGGATCGTTAGTAGATAAAGTGCTCCACCCGTATGATGAAATTTTCCATCCCACACTGATTTTCTTTGGGAAAAGTTGTTTTCCATCTAAGAAGTTCAATTTCGATGTGATTAGATTGCAGGGGGAAATTGTCACATTTATCAGCATTTTAAGAGGCAAATACTTATGTATTGAATGTCAGTTCAGAAACATTAATAGCTATAATGATTACTGTTACAGATTGTGCATTAGCTAACTGAACGCAGGACGTTTTGGTTATATTATATTTCAGCATCCTGTTGCATTGGGGCACAATTTTAAATTGTAAACTATTCCGCGTGCAATGCAACAAAGTCAGTCCTTTCTTACAAGACGCTAAAATGTATCTAATTCACTAAAAAGTGTTTGTTAAATATTTTTAAATGTCATTAATTATGTACATTCATGGACTTAGAGCCACTTCTAATCTGGATTCTCTCTCCGAACAAGGGAAGTGTTTACTTAAGAGACACCTCTAGTCCGGATTCTCTCTCCGCACAGGGGAAGTTTAGACTTAGAGCCACCTCTAGTCTGGTGTCTCTCTCCTCAGAGGGGAGGTGTGGACTTAGAGACACTTCTAGTCTGGATTTTCTCTCCCCACAGAGGGGAAGTGTGAACTTAGAGCTACCTCTAGTCTGGATTCTCTCTCCGAACAGGGGAAGTGTGGACTTAGAGCCACCTCTAGTCTGGATTTTCTCTCCGCAGAGGGGAAGTGTGAACTTAGAGACACCTCTAGTCTGGATTCTTCCTCCGCAGAGGTGAAGTGTGGACTTAGAGCCACAATTAAATAAAAAAGGAGAAGATCGTCATTTAGAAGTTATGAACGCTGTTTGAACGGAAATCAATATGTATTCCCGAGTTACGGGTCGCATACGGCCCGCGAGTGGTAAGTTGCGAATGCAACGTCTTATCTTATTTTTTAAAATTATTTTATGACGATGTCAGTGGCTAGACTAGTCCTACATATTGTCCAGTAATAGAATGATGCAAGAATTATGAATTCCAAAGCATCTGGAAGGAAACGGTCCTGCTCTACTCGAATAACTCTCGAAATATTTGAGGCTGAAAGAAACCATGGAAAAGTTCAGTCCGGATAGTCAGTATCCCGGACGAGATTCGATCCGAACACCTCAAGAATATGAGTTAAGAACATTGTCACTATGCCATCCTGTGTTTTAGAGGCTATCTANACCTCTAGTCTGGATTCTCTCTCCGCAGAGGGGAAGTGTGGACTTAAAGCCACAAGTAAATAAAAAAGGAGAAGATCGCCATTTAGAAGTTATGAACGCTGTTTGAACGGAAACCAATACGTATTCCCGAGTTACGGGTCGCATACGGCCCGCGAGTGGTAAGTTACGAATGCTACATCTTATCTTATTTTTTAAAATTATTTTACGACGATGTCAGTGGCTAGGCTAGTCCTACATATTGTCCAGTAATAGAATGATGCAAGAATTATGAATTCCAAAGCATCTGGAAGGAAACGGTCCTGCTCTACTCGAATAACTCTCGAAATATTTGAGGCTGAAAGAAACCATGGAAAAGTTCAGTCCGGATAGTCAGTATCCCGGACGAGATTCGATCCGAACACCTCAAGAATATGAGTTAAGAACATTGTCACTATGCCATCCTGTGTTTTAGAGGCTATCTACCGACATTTTCAAAGTTGAACCGCAGATGTACCAATAAATTATTTCACTAGATATTTTGTACGTTGAAGTGTGCATATACGATGTACATATTATTATGAGGAACTTCTGCGGTAGCGTAGTTGGTTGAGGCACTATGCTACAAGCCGGAAGGTCGCGGGTTCAAGTCCCGANGTCAGTTATCAGCTATGTTAATGAGTTAATTTTTTCCTTACTTTTAAACTCCGTAAAACAATCTTGAAACTTATCTGTTCCCACTTTCGACTAACAGTGCGTGGAAAGTTAATGTCTTCAAGGTCATATTTAGCCAAGTTCATAGGACTTTCGGCCGCTTAATTCGTTGCTATCCACCACCTCCCGAACGTAACAGAAATGATGAGCATGTCCTTAACGTTCCATAGTGGTTAGATGCAGGTCATCCGTATATTACTTAAATCGATTTAAGAGAGCTGGTTTCGTTTAGATTTTTGTATGGAATTCCCGAGTTTACAAGTCGCATGAGGCCCTCCAAGGGAACGTATTAAGTTTGGCTTTAGTTCAACATATATTTGAAGAGTATGAATAACAATTTCTGACTTTTATATATATATTACATATGCTATATTAAAGCGATGCCAAAGACGAACATGGTTCTTAATGGAAGATCAGCATTAATTTCGGACGCGTATGTACTTCCAGCACCGACCACAGCGGCCCCGCGGTCTAAGGCACGAACCGTCTTCGCTCTCTCGAACATTGGGATCTTGGGTTAGAATCCCACTCAAGGCATGGATGTTTGCGTCTATTCTGTGTTTGCATTGTCTTGTTTAGGTTGCGGCCTTGCGGCGGGCCGATCCCCCGTCCAAGGAGTCCTACCAACTGTCTAAGATAAGAAACTAAAGTGAAACGAAGCGTTTTACGAATGCCCTATTCTCCAGAGGGAGCAAGAAATNGGCCCTCCAAGGGAACGTATTAAGTTTGGCTTTAGTTCAACATATATTTGAACAGTATGAATAACAATTTCTGACTTTTATATATATTACATATGCTATATTAAAGAACATGGTTCTTAATGGAAGTTCAGCATTAATTTCCGACGCGTGCGTACTTCCAGCACCGACCACAGCGGCCCCGCGGTCTAAGGCACGAACCGTCTTCGCTCTCTCGAACATTGGGATCTTGGGTTAGAATCCCACTCAAGGCACGGATGTTTGCGTCTATTCTGTGTTTGCATTGTCTTGTTTAGGTTGCGGCCTTGCGACGGGCTGATCTCCCGTTCAAGGAGTCCTACCAACTGTCTAAGATAAGAAACTAAAGTGAAACGAAGCGTTTTACGAATGCCCTATGCTCCAGAGGGAGCAATAGATAGATAGATAGATAGATAGATAGATAGATAGATAGATAGATAGATAGATAGATAGGTAGATAGATAGACAGACAGACAGATGGATAGATAGAGAGATAGA